GCGAAACTACATGCAGCTGAAATACGAAGACCTGGTCCTCAGACCCGTGGGCGAGCTCCAGAGGCTCTATCGGTTCTCCAACCTCACCCTCTCTCCGACCATGGAGAAGTTTGTGGTGAACATGACCCACGGACAGGGCTATTCCTCGGATAAACCTTTCCTCATATCCTCCAGAGATGCCAAAGAGGCCATTTACGCCTGGAGGGAAAGGCTGAACGTGGAGCAGGTGAACCAGGTTGAAGCCTACTGCAGCGAGGTCATGAGACAGCTGGGTTATCAGAAGAGGAACAAGGACAAGACCTAAAACCACCAAAACATGGGTTTATGGTATGTGTAAGTGTCTTAATGTCAACAAAAGGATAAAAAATGCGACTTGGTGTCAACTATGGTCCCAGAACTTAGTGAGATGACAACGTAATTGGGCACCGTGATGACCAAGTATATCACACTTTACATTAGTGTTCATTTTGCAATATTATTGCAGATTTACAGAGTGATGGATAGTTAACTTCACCCAAAAATTGAAATTCTGTCATCATTTACTCACTCTCATGTTGTTCCAAATGTGGAAGCCATTGACTTTCATAGTATTTTCCCCCCAATACAGTGGAAGTCAATGGTTGCTGTCAACTTTTTGGTTATCAACATTCTTCAAAATATCTTCTTTTGTGTTCAACAGATGAAAGAAACTCATACAGGTTTGGAACAACGTGAGGTTGACTAAATGACAGTATTTACATTTTTGGGTGAACTATCCCTTTAACGCCAACAGAAAAGTTCTATGGTTTTTGGCAAAGAAGCCATTGCAAAACACATAGTATAGTATAGCAACAACTAGTATAGTCAAACGTTTGGGGTCAGTAAGTTTATTATTATTAATTACGTTTATTCAGCAAGGACAAATTCAATTGATCAAAGTTACAGTATAGACATTTATATTGTTAAAGTATTTCTACTCATGCTTATTTGCTATTATAATGCTATTTTTTTACTTTTTTATTCATCAAAGAATCTATCACACTTGCTACAAAAGTATTACCCAGCACAGCCGTTTTCATCATTGATAATAATAATAATAATAAATGTGTCATGAGCACCAAATCAGAATGATTTCTGAAGGATCATGTGACACTGAAGACTGGATTAATGCCTATTCCTGTTGTCACATAGAAAATGCTTTTAAATTGTGATAATACTTAACAATATACTGGTTTAACTGTATTTTTGATCAAATAAATGTAGCTTCGATGAGCATAAGAGACTTCTTTAGAAAAAAAAATCTAATTGCCACCCCCAAACTTTTGAACTGTATTATGGCACTGCCACTGTACAGTTTTATAAGGTAACTGAATTTGTACCAGTATATGCATCACAGCATTCTTTGAAAGCCATATAAATACCATGGTATATATTAAAGTACCATACTATTACATCTGAGGAAATACAGTTACAAAAGTACAGAATTAATACGTGTTATTGTTTTGTAAAGCTGATTTTAAATCTAAAAGAAAAGTACTATGGATTATATATACTCTATAGTATACTATACTTTTAGGGGAAGTGCCCTTCATTTATTGTAATTAATGATATTTACATGTAATATGTGTAACAGGGTCACTGTCTTCTACTACTCTTTATCAGGTCAAACAGATGCGTGCAAAATGCAAAACGGCATCCATGATAAAATGGGGCATGTTTTCTGCTGCTTTAGATTAGCGCTGAGTTTAAATTTATTAGATGGGTGAGTTTTACATTCAGCTAGCACGACTACACATTAATGCTTCCACCGTTAGATGAGAAGAGTGCGAGTCCGAAATTGATTATGCAACACTGCAACTAGTGTAGTTGTAAAGATGTACATTGATTTTATCGGCAGTGTGCTGTTATGCAGCAGCTCTATGTGAATGCCATGCACATACACTGAGTGACTGACAGCTTTATAACAAAGGTTGAAAGTGTCAGTTCTGATCTGTATCATGATACATACAATCTGTCTTCAGAGAACCAAGTTTGATTTTATAATCTTCAGCGACCTCGTGAGAAAAGAAAACGTGATGTTTTATAAAGTTATCAGTTAGATTCTCGTTTAGCTAAAATGTGTCAACATCGATTCACAAATGCGAAATTGTATCTTTTTTTTGGGAACACTTTACAAGGTTCAATTTAGGTCATGCGTTATATATCATAAACAACAGGTTTTAACTAGATTAATGATCATTTATAAATATACCATCATTTAGTGTTAATTAATGTTTGTATTTGTAGAAATGTTAACCAAGATAAATGCTGTAAATATAGTGTTTGTTGTTATATTAGCTACTTTTAAGAACTGATGTCAACATACAAGACGTTAGATTACAGTGTACCATTTCAGTCAGTGATTGTAAAAACACTGTCGAGGGCAGAATCAGTGCACTATACTCAGCATTTAATGATCATGAGCATTAAAAAGAGACAATAGGAGAGTCAAGTTTAGCCGGGGTCATTGATCCAGTCTGAAACCAATAGTACAAGGTGCCAGTGAAGTCATAGGGTTAATACTGTCCTCTTGAACTCAGGGAAGTGGAAGCTATATGGTGGCGCCATTTTGTCATTTCCAAACAGACCTGGGTCAGCAAAATGACCAGTTTTACTTTTACTGTAGCCGATATAATGGTTAAAAGTGCTGTAAGTCAAATCAGCACAACATATCATAAATATCCTCTCAGCACTGTGACCTGTGAAAATATCCGACTGCGGTATGTGTCAAATCAATTAGCCATCATGCTCGAGTCTGATTTCATGGCGAGGCTTGTATAACAGAGCGATGGATCATGATACGGGCTTCTTTGTTATCGCTATCAGCGTCATGTGATGAGGGGGACTGGTGTGACCTAACAGACCGACCACACGTGGTTGGAACAGGCTTAAATAGGGACTGCTTTGTTTTGGTTAGTCCCTGGAGGGACCAGTGCTCCCTGAGCTGAGTGAGCTCTAAGTGTCCCTCAGTACCAGATGAGACAACCTCCAAGACCTAGCACTCATCACAACCTTGTTTTCAAATATGTCTTGAATAACATATTTTTGAAAAGTTTTGATTGCTTGGGCGTCACAACAACAAAAAACTAGTAATTAATTAATGATCTAATATTTAATTATATAAATGTCAGATTGTTTAATAATATTTGGACTTTTATTGTTATTATTGGTGTAATAATGTAACAAATGTTTTAATAATAATGATCTTAATAAAAATAAACTAAAACTAATAATATATTAATATCCTATTATTAGATCTAAATCATTTAGATTTATTTACACATATTATAACTTGTATAATGTGTGTTGGGAGGGTTAATAAGAACACAAACGCCTTTTAATGTATTAATTTATAATCCAACATAATTTTATTAAATGTAGTAATTATTGTAATACATTTACATACAAAACTATCAAAAATGACTTGTGATCTGTTTTGGGGGGTAAAATAAACAACATTAGTATATTGATGATATAATTAATCTAATGTAGGATTAAGTATAAATATCAGATTAATTACATAATAATATTTTAACATTATTACCATCATTATTGTATTAATGTAATAATGTAATTAAAATATACTACTACTAATAATAACGCATTGTCTTTTACAGGGATAATAAAAAATACCAAAAGAAACAAAAAAAAGATTATAATCTAATATTAGATTATTATATTTAAATACATTTATAATAATTTAAATACTAGTAAATAATATAATATAGCTATTCATATCATACTAATAACTATTAAAGTAATTTTAGTTTTTAGTATGAGTAGGCCTATAGGAACACCGCCACGCCGAATATCTGTGACAAATACTACCGATGCAGAAATGACACACTGTACTTTTATGACTAAACTTTGTTGACATTCTATACAAAATCATTGTTTTCAGTAAACATCCCAATATCTCCTGTCCTTATCAATAACAAAGTTATGTTTCCCTCTTCGCTGTAGAAACCTGATGTGCTGGAGGAACAGGAGGACAGAGGGGGAACAGCCTGATATGAAGCTACGACACACCGATGGAGCTGAGGAGCAACACCCCGAGATCTCCCTCACAGTGCCGTCACGGGGCGCAGAGTAGACGACAGAAGAGAGACACTCACAAACCCATCGACCTCAACTGATACTGACAAGACTCCTGTAAGAAAAAGACTAACAATAACAAGAGGGGAAACACGTTCAGCACGGCTTGTGTCCTGACAGCCAGATTTCATCCGCAATAATCCCTGCCCAATCCCCAGCAGCCCATAATCAGACACACAAGACCAAGTCTTTACGTGCACTCGTGCTATTACACATGCACCAGGCCCGCAGACAGACAGACATCCCACTGAGTGTTCAGTTCGCTGGGAGGATTTCATAATGAAAACATTCCTAGGCATTCCTGTATTCATCATCAATGTATGAAAAGAGCATTATGCATCAAGGATACTCCAGTTTCTGTGGTACTGCCCAAAAAAACATGAATGAAGAACTTATCTGTGAAGCACAAAGAGCAATTCAGCGAACTGAAGATCTAGAGAAATTTAAGGGTGGAGAAAGAATTTTCCCCCAAAGGAAATTCTGATTTCTCTCCCCTAAGTCTCAGCACTCCCACTGGTGTGAGATTTCCCAGTTCCCCCCGGACATCACCAGTTTGTTCTTTTCGTACGAAGTCTGCACTGGGGTGTTAAGACTGTGCAGAATGTTGTGTTAATTTGTGTATGAACAGGATAGGATTGCAATTTGAATAGTTAAATAGGCAAAATGTCTCATCTAAAACTAAAACACACAATCATTCTTTGAGGATACAGGTGTTTTTGAGCTTTTTCTGCTCAACAACATTGACACTTTTATCATTTTGTTAACGTCATTTTGTCATTTTAAACACCATTCACTCTTAAGTTACATGAACCATCAGAATACATGAACAAATCCGTTATTTATAAATAAAATGTGTACATACTTTTTTGATGTAAACACTAGTTTTCTTGTTTTATTATTCTTCTTATTTAATGACATAAATAAACCAAATACCGTACTTAGGTATTGCTACTGCAGCTCACTTTGATACATTGGCTATTTTTTACAAACATACAGTTGATAAACTACAATCCATACCACAGTTTTTTCGCATTATTTAACAGGCTGAGTGCATCTTAATAGAGATTCAAATGGGAAAACGGAGCGTTTTGGCGTTTCATACATCACAGACAAAAAAATGGCAGCTTGATTATGGATTTTTGTTGTTTGTTTATATACTGACACGCAGAACAGCAAGTAAAAGATGAATGCTGATACAAATCCACCATAGTATGGTCAGAAAGAAAAAAAAGCTATCAGGTTGAAAGAGTCATTCAGAAGAGGAGTGACTTCTTAGCCGGATTACATGCGAAATCTTGCTACAGCCGGTTTAAGGTTCTGCGCCTCAAATGGCGATTGCCACGAAGCCCGTGAGGCTCATTTGCTAGCTGAAACGCCACATAAATAGTGCAAATCTCCTTGATTCACATTTATGTTCTTATCAGATGTTGAACTATATTCCGTAGAAGTGACAACTCAAGCAAACTAGACAGGCGCAAGTGCAGACCATTGTAAAAGTTACTGAATGGAAAGAGTGCAAAGTTAGTTTATTGTGTCGAGTATAAATCGGAATGAATGATGACTTAGTTATTAACTAAACTCTTGGACTTTAGACTTGCATTCATTAACATTATTCTTTTCTAGACACGGAGGATGGAAGGAATGCACATTGGCGGTTACTGGCACGAGGCCACCTGTTTACTGTATGAACAGATAAAGAGCCAGGTCAACATCATGCCGAACACTCCAGATTCCTGATATAGGAATCGCAGACTGCTATATAGCAGCAACTCATACATATGGAAAGATCCACCTTCAAGAACATTCTAATGTGAGGAGGCGCAAAAGGAATGTTTGATGCAGATATAAAGACTCCTTGATAATTACATCGTTCTGCATCACAAATTCTGGCTGAGAGTGTGCAAGTGGTTAATATGCTAATATAAAAGCAAAACATGCAAGGACTGCAGCTAATGTGCATGGCTCATGCACTCTTGTTGCATCCAGCTGTCCCACTGCTGTGCAGGTCAACATTCATATTTACAACGACAGGCTTGTCAACTTGGCATTCGTACAACCAAGATATTGCAGGAAGTGTAAACGCCAACTCGCTAGAGTATTACAAGGTTCCCGTATGCAGTCATGAGATGAGCGTGCACTTGTGTCAATGTTGCCATTGTGTTTGTGAGCTTTCACGAACACCACTGCCATGGAATATTTACAAACCGCACGCTTATTTGCCTGATGGGAAAGACGAGCATTTAAATGCAAATGATTACCATAATAATGGCTGTTCATGCAAAGAAAAACTGGCTCAGTCATATTTGTCAATCATATTTCTAGCTTGTAGCAGCATTTCTAACAGAAAACTAAAAATGACTAAGCTAAAATGTTAATATGCTGCGGGCTGTGTGTGTGAGAGATTGTATGAATGTGAATGTTAAGGGCAGCAGAGATCGTTCGGCATCAATCCCTCATCATAAATGACAGCAATAAGGACAATCAGTGTTTTTCTTCTACAAATCACATTTTCAGGGGCAGACACAGAATCGGAGTCTGCCACAGCATCAACTGTCGCCTCCGTTTCTCTGAGAACAAACCCTCCTGATCTCCCTTGAGTGTTCAGACCCCCTGCATGAGATCTTTGGAGGGGTCGTGGGTGGTCCGATGGATCAATGTACAAGGAAAGTGGAGGTATGGAGCACAGGGAGGCGTGGTTTAAGGTTTGGGAGGCGGTGTCAAGCATGGTCCTCCATGGGGAAAACGAGACGTGTGCCACGGCTCAAGAGCTCATGTTCACGCGTGTCCAGTTCTCGCTCTAGAGCGTCTTCTGACGTGCTGTCGCTGCGTTTGCCATTCACACCCCAGCTGCCGCCCGATCCTTCGGGGCCGGAGGAGGACGAGGCCCCGTTGGCTGTGATGGCTGTGTCGCCATAGGTCAGCGCCAGGTCTCCTTCGTTCAGGATGAGGTCTGAGTCATTGTCTCGCAGCGGCTCGTGGTTCTGCGGAGCACAGTGACAAGTCGGACATGAAGAGAGGAGGACGGGATGCTTCAACACACACACACACACATACACACACACACACTGTTCAAGCTCAGCACAAAGGTTCATGAGGGACACTGTGGAGTCACAAGAAGACAGGATAAAGAGAGAAATACACTTAAATGTCCTTGTGCAAAGGAAAAAAATCAACACTTTCCTGTGTGTAATGCAGCCTTCAAGTGCCAATGGGAATATTGTAATTACAAGTTATGTGTACATGAATGACCAACAAATTCATATTTAGAAATGGAAACACAATATTCACAATGGTATTTAAATAGTAAAATTGTGATATTAGAAGGGTCGTGTAGATGGTAGCAAATACTTTTGTCAAGTTATGTCTTGAGATTTAGAAATAAAGGGGGAAAAAATGCTTGAATTGTAAAAAAATAAATAAAAATTAATTCATTAAAAAAAACAATAAAATAATAACTAAAAGACCTTGAGATTTTAAAAAACCATGAGGAGAAAAAAGGGGAAAGAGTCTTGAAATTTAAAAATTAAAACTTGATTTTAAAAAAGATTTTCTTGAGATTTAAAAAAGATTTTGTCGTAACCACGATAAAAGCGGGTTGGGTTATAATGTTAAATTGTTGAAAAATAATGCACACCCTTTACATTTTGGCTATATTACAACATCATTAATAATTACTATCATATACAACAGAGCTTATAAACACGTGATGTAAAGTAAGATAATGACTCGCATGTCGGGTTTGCTTTATGAAAATTATTTTTTTATAAGAGATCGTCATGCATAAATTATATCGGTTTTGTAAAAGTGACAGACATTTATTACTGCTTTCTGCACAGAAAAAAAAGACCATTTGCTGTAGATCATCTTTTTGTATTTTTGTTAGTTTTTTAGACTACCTTGTTTCCTATCTTGAACGCGAGTTATCACAATAATAAGCAACACAAATGTAGGAGCTTCCCAGGTGGACTTGAAGGCAGCATAAGCTATGACTGAAACAGCAAATTCACACAACTCTGTTTATATGATGCATATGTAACAAACATTCTGCAATAAAGCATCTCCCACAGTTTAAAGACTTGCCATTCACAGATCACTGGGTTTAGTGATACTACACAAAATCACTGCTGGGTGCTATTGAAAAGGGTTTTCACTCAAGCACAATTACACCAGAGGATTACACTGTGTGCCAACAGATCAAACAAACTAAACTCTGTTACGCAACAGTTAGCTTCACATATAGCTGCTGCTAAATCCTTTGAGAAGGATCTAAATAATGCCTGTTCCATGTTAATGGTTTGAGATGGTGTGATTTAGTTTGTGAAGATCACGTTTAAGCTCTCAAAGGCTCTAGGCTCTAGACCTGCACTCCTTCCTTCTTATTCAGTTCATTCATATTCAGTTCATCATTATATATATACTGTATATGTAAACAAAAACTTTTATTTTAGATGCGATTCATTGTTTGACAGCACTAATATATATATATATTTTTTATTGATTGATTTTTTTGCATAATGACCATTAAACTGGATAATTAAATCCCAGGCAACATTTTCCTGGTATCTTTCTTCATACATGCTTTCAACTCAAGTCAATATTTCTTGCCTTTTTTGTTTATTTGCCAAGCAGCGGTGTAATAAGAGGAATATTGTAGCGTTATAGCAGTCATTATAGCAAAATGATCTCTTTTACTGTTTTGCAAGAACCCACAGCTAACAGCATACATATTACAGGGTTTTTGCAGGTTTTATGAAGGTAAATTTAAGACCAAGTACAGAGAATTTAAGAAATAAATTGTGACCCTGGACCACAAAACCAGTCATAATGGTCAATTTTTTTCAATCTTAATAATATTATATGAATAAATAAGCTTTCCAATGATGTATGGGTTGTTAGGATAGGACAATATATGGCCGAGATAAAACTATTTGAAAATCTGGAATCTGAGGGTGCAAAAAATCTAAATATTGAGAAAATCACCTTTAAAGTTGTACAAATGAAGTTCTTAGCAATGCATATTACTAATCAAAAATTAAGTTTTGATATATTTACAGTAGTAAATTTACAAAATATCTTCATGGAAAATGATCTTTACTTAATATACTAATGATTTTTAGCATAAAAGAAAAATCTATAATTTTGACCCATGTATTTTTGGCTATTGCTACAAATATACCCCAGCGACTTAAGACTGGTTTTGTGGTCCAGAGTCACAACTGAATACAACACAAAACATTAATATAGGTTAATGTTTTATTAATATAGTATATTAATATGGTTAATAATGTCTTGTATTAGCAACACTTCAAAGTTCAAATATACAACTTTAATTAAAAAAACTACTTTAATTTCTTACTACTTTAATTCTGATCACACTGCAAAAAAGTTTTTAACCAGTATACAGTATTGTTTTTGAGTTCAAATGTCTAAAGATTCTTAAATCAACATACATTTATTTGTTTTATTAGAAATTGATCAAAATGAAGTAAGTTTGATTAAACAAGAACAAACAAGAACTTAATTCAAAGAGGAAAATCATTTAATTTTGTTCAATTCCTCAACAAAAAAAACATCTTTAATTTGCATCTGTAAATGTATCTTGATTTAAGGACATTTAGATATTTATATTGGAACATTTAATACTTGACTTTACGAATTTAAAACTTTTAAGGCCTTAATTTTTGGAAGAGCAAATTAAGACTTAAGAACCCTACACTAGTATGGACAGTTATTTTGTCACTGAAAATGGTTCCATAAGAAGCCAAATCAAAACAGTAAATATCACTCTTGGAAACCATTCTTGCCTAACCAAAATACAGGAACGGAAGTACAGTAAGTGTTGCGTATTTTGCGTCAGTGTCTGGCAAACAGTACATTATCCCATACTTAACCTCCATAAATGAACCATTACCAGAGAACTATTGTGGCTAAGTGCTCTTGAAAATAAAGTAATATAGGAACAAGTTCAACACAAAAGACCTTTAAAGAAAGAGGAAACTGCAAGAATCAAAAAGCCTGTTATTCACATTTGAAACCATACAAAACGGATTTAACCAGACGAACTAAATAACAGCCAAAGAAAAACTGGCAGCAAAATTAAACAACAAATTAGGAATATGTTAAGACAATAAATCAACAAATTTTTTTTTTTTTCAGATTTAACGAGCAAGTGACTAATAAATCTGATGGAGGAAGTAAAAATGGAAATGAAATCTAGACGTAGACTGTGGAACAGCGAGGGAGAGCTGGGCTAAAATAAAAAGATGAGTAGCAAAACAAAACAAAAAAAATGCAATTCAAAGAAAAAAGAGACAGTGAACTTAGACACATATGGCAGGTATTAGGAGGACCTAGAGAGCACAATCAAGAAAGGAATAGAAATATATACAGACAGACAAACTTGGGTATTTAGATGAAATGACCCAGTTTAAAAGAATGTATGTAACAAACATCATGACTCGTGTTCTGAGGTAAGAACTATTTTCATTATAGGTCATAGGCGGTGGGAAGTGAGGGCGCTGAGGGTGCTGCAGCACTCCCTGTTTTTTTCTGTGGGCAACTGTTTAACTGTTGGGAATTGAAAAAAAAAAATCGGAGTGTCTATTTACACCAAGTGCAAATAGCCCGCCTTGTTGGCAGAGGCTATTTACACTAACTCCACCCACCAACGTGTGATTGGGCTAGTCATCATTACAAAAGACAATAATAATCAAAGTCAATAATCGTCAGATTCAGTGGCGTAGATGGTAAAGCGTGTGTCATACTTCTTTTGACGCGATTGACCCGGGTTCGAATCTGCCTTTTGGCTAACTTTTTTTCTCCCTTTTCAAATTTCAAATCACATCAGAAAAGCATTTCTTTTTAATAAACATGAAGGAAATAATAAAAAAGTTGAAAAAAAAAAAAGTATCGGGTAGGGATAGGTGTAGGAAAGGCTTTTGTCCCAATAAGGTGGCATCCATTTAATAATTTGAATTCAAATTCAAATTTACACTCAATAAGTTATTATTGCACACTGTTTTAATGTATTACAATGCTGAGGTGCAGATAATTGACACTATTTGCAATAAGTAATTAGCAGAATATCCTGCTATTTTAACTATCTATAGCTATTTTCACGTAGTGTAAATAACATCTATCGCTAAGAAAATATGCTATTTTCACTTAGTGTAAATAGCCTCTATCGCACCTCCCTCCCCACGCGCGTACAGCACCCCCAACCTAAAAAATCTTCCCGTGCCCCTGTTATAGGTCTACAAAAACTCTCTGCTGGTATTCACATCATACCATTCTCTGCAGCTACGAGGGGCATAATTGTGTTACGTGGGAGAGAGGTGGGATGTCAAGCAGTTCTGCAGGACATTTAGCTCATTGTGACCCAAAAGCACAATGTAAGACTGTAAGATGTTTGTGAGCACAGCCAAGCAGGCTGAGCTACAGTACTAACGTTGTGATGAATAGGGGAATTTGCAGGAGTGAATGGGCCTGTGACCGTTGTGAATAACGGTGTTCTCCATGCTTGAGATCCTGGAACGCCTCTCGGGCTCACCATCATCAGAGTGGCATCATGAAAGGCTCTTTTGTGACCGGGCGCAAACTGAATGCGTCTTCCTTCGGGTCTGTGTCCAGTCTAAAAACCCCAGTGCTTTTGTGTGTCTGTCTTTCTTTCTCTCTTTTCTTTTCAAACAGGGCTTCACAGAGCAGCAGCAACATTAGAAAGCAAGCTATGGAAACCAAAGTGTGCTGTTGAGGAACTCTGAACAAGCTACTTCCTTAGAAACATAGCAAAGTGCAGTGTGAAGTAATGACCAATCTACTAATAGCAAATAAGGGGCCATTTTGATAATATAGGCATTGGGTTGATTCTTAAATGTATCAGTTTGGATCTACCTTGTTAGTGGATACCTTGAATTAATAGAGTAAATTAAGTTTTATATTTTTATATTTAATTGATTTTCATTTTTATTATATTTATATATACTGTATATAAAATAAAAATCTATTAAAATTTGAAAGATAAATAGATATAAATCTATTTCATAAATAAATTATTGTTCATATTTAATTGATTTTATATAGAAAATATATAAAAAAATCAATTAAATAAAAAGAAAATAAAAATCGATTCGATTTGAAAACGTAAACAGATATATTTTTTTACATATATCATTACATATATTTATTATTTATTACATTTATTTATAAAATAATGCAAATCTATTAAAATTTGAAAAGATAATGAATTAACGGATACAAATCCATTTCATAAATAAATAATTGTTCAAATATAATTGATTTTATATAGAAAACATTCAAAATAAATTAAATAAAAATAAAAAGTTAGATTTGAAAAGTAAAATTTTTTTTTTTCATTTTTATATTTACCTGATTTAAATTTTTATTATATTTATATAGAAAATAATACAAATATATTACAATTTGAAAAAGATGAATAAACATACATATCTATTTCATAAATAAATAAATAATTGTTCAAAAATAATTGATTTTATATTAAAAAATCTAATAAAAATAGATTTCATTGATTCCTTTTTTTATATTTGATTATCATTATATATATATATATATATATATATATACACATACACACACACTATTCGGCCAATCACAACGCACTGGATAGCTGGCCAATCACAACACACCTCGCTTTTTCAAACCGATGAGCTTTGTAAAGATCGATGCGTTTCAAAAAGGCGGGGCATAGAGGAAAAACAATAATGTACAGTATGTGGAAAATAATGTGTTTTTTTTACTTTAAACCGCATAAACACATTTCATTACACCAAATACACAAAATAATGTTCTTTTTAGCAGCATCATATGACCCCTTTAACTTTAACTGTATGCACGCAAAAGAGCAGCTTGGACCGTCTCAAAGCTCTCTGGTAAAGTAAATTATGAAATCTTTTCTGGCTAAACTAGTTCATTCATAACAGCCACAAATCAACACTGACTGCAAGACTTCCGACATTCATCCAAGTCAAACATTTCAAAACAGCCAATCAATTCAAACCATTCAAAATAGCATTGCTTATAATGGAAGCTCCAAAAATTCAGCATGGCAGCAGCAAGCGCTCATCTCGGAACCAATATGTGACCCTGGACACTGGTCTTAAGTCGCTGGGGTATATTTGTAGCAATAGCCAAAAATACATTGTATGGGTCAAAATTATAGATTCTTCTTTTATGCCAAAAATCATTAGGATATTAAGTAAAGATCATGTTCCATGAAGATATTTAGTAAATTTCCTACCGTAAATATATGAAAACTTAATTTTTGATTAATAATATGCATTGCTAAGAACTTAATTTGGACAACTTTAAAGGCCATTTTTTCAATATTTGGATTTTTTTTGCACCCTCAGATTCCAGATTTTTAAATAATTGTATCTCGGCCAAATATTGTACTATCCTAACAAACCATACATCAATGGAAAGCTTATTTATTCAGCTTTCAGATGATGTATAAATCTCAATTTAGAAAAATTGACCTTTATGACTGGTTTTGTGGTCCAGGGTTACATATGATTGAGTCTCAGCCTCATAATCATGGAGTAAACAGATCATTATCCCCTTAAATAGTTCACTCAGAGTCCAGCACACAGATCTAAACAGGACTGCTAGTACGCATTTGGCAGCAATACTGAGGTATTTTATTTTTGACAGACGGGGATAAAAATAGAGAAGGCGGCAGTAAAATGCAGATGGCTTGAAACCAAGAACACCCAGTGATGGATTTGAAAACATATAATATCTATGAGGGGGACCTAAACTGGATGTCCCCTACAGAGTTAGAGAGAGGTATAGCCTGCAAAATATCTCTGTAGGATGTCCAATAGCATGGTCTGGCACCCAAAGAGAAAAAAAAACAGGCAGCTGGCCTTTTGGAAAGCACACAAGCACACTTTAATTCACTCCCGAGGGCCTGTGCAAAAGGAACCGAATGTTGTTGGGTAGGTTGTTGTGACAATAAGGCAGCACACTTGTAAGCTGACAAGCACGGCTGTGGGCGCAGAGAAAATCGCAAGCTAAGATTCCTAATAAACATCTGACATAAGCTCTGAGGACCTGTGAGTCACCACATGTGGAGCTGGCTAGACACAGCTGTGCAGGAAGTGGATTGAGAAGTGTGTGAGAAAATGTGTGTGCGCCACTTTCACCTTTAAGCATTATTTCTAGCATCCGTGAGCTAAATAAAACCCCTTTCTTTGCTATTCTGTTCCTCTCACCACCCATGACCGTCTCACTGAAAAGGTACGGCTACAGTAAACCTTTCAGCACAAAATAATTGCAGTGGACGAACCCTGCTGAGAGCTCAAGAATCATTGATTGCTTCATTCAGGACTCTTTGTGAAAATGGACTGCAGCCATTTCATTTGACTTTCCGTGCAAAGAACGTCAGTAATGACATTTCCAGCAGCTCGTATTGAGATGCGGAGCTCAGACTGGAGCTTTTTTTGGAGTGGGATTTGCGTCAGGAGGGTGAGGCTTGTCAGTTCGGGGGTTTAGAGGCTCAGTTAAGGCCTCAGAGGAACTCCAGCACTGATCAAAACCAGCTATCCTATGAAATCTCGGAATTATTCATCCTTTCCTCACTCTGCATTTATATTCATCTAGATCCGCTTTAACGGGTTTCATCAATATGTGTCTCTCTTTTGTCATTGTCTGTGGTGTGGGAGCAGATGTTTTTTCCTAGTCATTTGCATGGAGCCAAAGTAATCTCAGTTGGCTAGGCTCACGGAAGAGCAACTGTGAAAGAGAGGTAATGCTCAACCGTGCTTGAGTTCCTAATGACAAGACCACAAAAGTGTGCAAGTGTGTGTTGTTGTGAACGGCATGCTGAAAAGGATACTTGTGGTCAAAAGTATACCAAAGTCTAAAAAGCCAGGCGCTCTCTTGCTTGGTCTTGCTCTGTCCTTCTGACTCCGTTCCATCCTGAGGAGAGAAAAAGGACGTAAGTGTGATTTATTTAATCTACAGCAGGGTTATGCAAACTTTTTCACACACACACACACATACACATATAATATACTAAACCTTTAGCAAATATTTAATAATTAAGATAATACAAAGCACAATTCATTATTGTGGCAGACAAGTAAATAATTGAGCAGATGTTTAAAAAAAATGACTCAATATAGAAGTCAATATATTGTTTTATGTTCATGACTGAACATCACTCCATCAGTAGTGATTACAGTATTATCTTGTAGTATATTATATTACATTACATTACAAAATGTGTACTTTTTGCACCTTTAGTGTCATCAAACATTAATCCACTACTGGCAACATAAATACCAGGCCATATGGAGAAATGGTCTGCAAACTTTTGAATGGGTGGAACGGAACCTGATATTAATGGTTTATCATAAATAACAGTACACACATTCAATATTCATCCATATTTATCCACTGACTTTATACATGTCGTAAAACCTCTTGCCAGTACGTGTATCCCAGTTCATCTGATCTCACGAGTTCAGCTTAAACATCAGCTTCATTGCATTTAAAGAGATTACAGATTAACGCCATCACAAACAAGCTCACAGTAACACTATACTGCAACCTACCCTAAGCTTGCTATACTCTTTTGGCGTTAATAATATAGTGCGGACCACTGTTTATAAGATAAGATGTGTGACAAGGACAAAAAGTGTACTTTAACCAAAGTAAAACTGTACACATGTGATATAGGGTTGTCATTATACCAAAATATTCAGTACATTTTCACAATTTTGATATGAAGGCAATAAGTAATATGCTAGTGAATACACTACTTGATAAAAAAATGTATACAATATTAACATAAATATTAACTAACTAAATTAAAACAATGGAATGTAATAGTAAAGCTTTAAATCTACTTTCATAAAATTTATTCAACATTGTTGTTTGATTAATATTATCTATTTTTATTAACAGATTTTGACATTTTTAACAATTAAGTGTCTGGATTTGAAACATTCTTAAGAATTCCTACAAATAAAATTCTTCTAAATTATTTACTCCTAGTTTTCTAACTTAGAAAAGATATATATATATATATATATATATATATATTGCATAGTGTGCATATATGCAGTACTGTAGTCCTCTTAGGTTAATGTATTTTAAACTCATGAATTCTTTTTTTTAAATCATTGTAAATAACCTCTGAAAGTTAGTGTTTTACTTTCCAAAGGGCACTATGTTTAATTTACTGGGTTGTTTCAACCATTAAGCATTACAAGTTACATAGACTATATATTGCTTGTACCAAGCTTTACTTTTTTAATCTAGTACACTTGTAACCAGGGCTTGACATTAACACCCGTCAAATGTGACCCTGGACCACAAAACCAGTCTTAAAGGGGTCATATGATGCAATTTCAAGTTTTCCTTTCTCTTTGGAGTGTTACAAGCTGATTGTGCATAAATAAGATCCCTGAAGTTGCAAAGACTAAAGTCTCAAAACCAAAGAGATATTCTTTATCAAAGTTAAGACTCTGCCACGCCCCCCTAAAACGGCTCGTTCTAACACGCCCCCACATATACCTCACTATGTGGAAATATTAGCATAATGCCGCCCAAATGTGCACGCAAAGAAAGAAGGCGTGGTTTCAGTAACCGCAGTTAGTGTTGAAGCAGCTAGGGCTGTTTATCACCAGCAAAGTCACGATATGATACGTATCACGATACATGACTGCGACACTTAGCAGATATTTCCGTATTGCGCAAGCGTAAAGCTCTGTTTCGGGGATTACGTCTCTTTATATCAGGCAACCCAGTTGTGTTCCTCTGCGGCCAGATTAAACCTTGTTGTAGCGCTCGACATTAATGCATGTCTGGGACAAGTGGATTTTTTTGAAGGGGCAAGTGAAAGAAGACATTTTTACTTGCCCGACCGGACAACTAATCTGATTAAAACATCTAATTAGGGAAGCACCACAATTTCAGCGAGAATGATTGTGATTTTATTACATTCAGTGTCAACGGCAATTGATAATGGATAATTAACAGTAACAACAAGATCACGCCAGTTGAGGCTCACACAACCTGTCTGTGAGAGAATCTCATGGAGAAATTAAAACGAACAACTGCACACAGAAGAAACATACAATTTATAACATACAGAATGTTAATTGTTAAGCAACATGACCAAGAGAGTGACGTTTTCCCTGAAAACCACAACTGCAAATTTGACATTTTATACAAGAGTTAAAACGAGTAGTTAACATACATTTTAGTACATTTTAGTATTTTAGTGAATTTATTGAAAGGATATATTGTCAGCGTTGACTGTTTTTGCTCAATTTGGTTAAAGAAGATAGTTCCAAACAAAGATCACAGCAGAACAGTCGCACATCTCTGAGCAACACACAGCGGTGTTATTTCGCGTTTTTGAATTTTGAGTCAATGATTCAGTGGTCCATTCATAAAGACAGGCACTTGCTTCATTCTTGAATGTATCAGCCATCTGAACGAATCGCTTGAATGAATGCATAAATGACTCACTCATTAAGACTCATTCATATTTAAAAGTTGCTTATCTTTGCATTTTTTCCAACATTTCATATTTGTATATTTAAACCAAAAAAAACTATTTTAAAACACCAAGCTCACAACATTATTTATGCTGTTATAATTTTGCAGTCTAACTATATTTCAGCTACATTGAACGGTCTGTGTAAATGCATCTAAATGCCACTCTTATTCTGCAGTGGAAAGATCGGTTTTGTTGATACTGATTTAATTTGACTGGTAACAGCCCTATATTGTCTAATTATATTAATTGAAATTATTAATAAAATGTAAGAATTTGATATGAAAGATGATGCATGTATTTAACACGGTTAGGGGAAAATGCCCTTTAAATAGGCCTGGAAATCAATTTAAATACATTTTTGTATGCAGTATTAAGTCAAATAAAACGTAATTTCCCAACAACAAAATTGTGGCCAGTGAAAATGCTGAGTGGCTAGTAAATTTGGAAAACCACTAGCCACAGTGGCTGGTGAGCAAAAACGTTAATGTCAAACCCTGCTTGTAACCCTATCAGATGTTTGTGTTCCAGATGGAAACACTAAGGGTTATCAAAAGGGAGAGAGAGAGACAGAAAGGCCTTTAAGAGACCAGGCGGATCCCCTCTAAGCATGTTCTCTTCAGGTAATAACGACTTCCCAGAAGCACACTAATGGCTATTCAACAATTTACTATCTGACAGTAATGTTGAGTAATAATTTACAGTGGAAGACGAAAAGGTCCTCTCTCCTGAGTTTATTGTATTCTTAAAGGGGTAGTTCACCCAAAAATGAACATTTTGTCATTGTTTACTCACCCTTATGTTGTTCTGAACCTTTATGAATTTCTTTCTTCTGTTGAGCACAAAAGAAGATATTTTGAAGAATGTTGGTAACCAAACAGTTGCTGGCAGCCATTGACTTCCATAGTATGGGGGGAAAAAATCCTATGAAAGTCAATGGCTACCTATTTGGAAAGAAACTCGTACAGGTTTGGAACAACTTAGTGGGGAGTAAATGATGACAGATTTCTCAATTTTGGGTGAGCTATCCCTTTAGGAAGACTTTTGTGAATCTGGTCCAGATTGTTTATGTCCTAAATCTATAAACCAACTGTGTTTACCAAGAAATGCGTTTGACCACTTATGGTCAGTCGTTAGCACAAGCACTCGTTAACATCTTTATTATTTCAGCATCAACTTTATACCAAAGTACCAGTACTTTGAGATCACCAGTGCATAAAGTCTGCATTATCTTGTATCTCTGTATTGGTGCATGTATTCGTACTTCTTCAAAAACACACCCACAGGTTTCAAACAACATGCCAACAGCTAAGGTGTCAGGGTTGTTTTTATGGCCGTTTTTGAAGGGGTCGAATTTATCTTATGAAGGATCGCTCCACAAATGACACTTAGGCGAGCGTGCACCTTTTTTTTAGAGGCCAAAAACAGGAAGAATGAATTTGTGTGTAGTTTTTGGGTAGCTGCATGAGGTCTTAAAGGGTTAGTTCACCTAAAAATGAAAATTGACTTGTGTTTTACTCACCCTCGAAACATCCTAGGTGTATATGACTTTCTTCTGTCAGACAAATCCAGTTGGAGTTATATTAAAAATTGTCCTGGCTATTCCAAGCTCTATCATTGAACAGTTCACAAGTCGTCAAATAAAGCGCACGCATTCATAATAAAACGTGCTTCACACGGGGGTGAATAAATGTCTTCTGTAGTGAATCCATGCGTTTTTGTAAGAAAAATATCCATATTTCAAACGTAATAAACCCTTTTCTCTCACTTCCGTTTTCTGTCATACAGGGAAGGCGTTCTGGCGGAAGGCGTATGACGTATGCGCAGCGTGCGCACCTCTTGAGGTATGCTAGTCTCACGAGTTTGTTTATAGGAGCAAAGGAAGTAAAGTTTCCTTACTTTAGCAAAGGAAAGCCAGTCTCCTCTTGGTTTATATTGAAATTCTCCGACATATTTCTTTGCAAATCTTCGGTTTGTTCTTCTAACTCGTGACTGGCATTCGTCACTAATCCAAAATGCATGGATTCACTACAGAAGGCCTTTATTCACCCCCCGGAGCCGTGTGAAGCACGTTTTATTATGAATAAATATATTTGCGCTATATTTGATGACTTGTGGACTGTTCAACTGCAACACCCACTGACTGCAATGATAGAGGTTGGAATAGCCAGGACAATTTTTTATATAACTCCGACTGGATTCGTCTGAAAGAAGAAAGTCATATACACCTAGGATGCTCCGAGGGTGAGTAAAACATTTTCATTTTTGGGTGAACTAACCCTTTAAGTGCGAAAGGGACAGGATGATGTGGCAGCAATTCAGAACAAGAGCTTCACATTTTCCAAAAGAAATGTTACTGATAATTGGCAGCGCAAATCCACGTTACTTGGGTGTTCCTGGGTGGTTTCTAAGGCATTGCAAAATTCTTCCTTTAACGTCTAGAGAACATTATAAGACTGATGGCTTAAAAAGTACTAGCACACGTTTCCTTTGTTGTACAGTTTGAAGCATCACTCATTTCTATAGCAAAAATAAAATACTTGGTAAAAGCTTCATTGGCAGGAGGACAGAAACATATTGAGACTTACTCCCTGAAGGACCTGGAAGCTGTCCCCACATGGCTGAAGATCCTGATCAGTGTCCACTCCAACTCTGAAAGAGAGAGAAACTGCACATCAGTCTGCCTGTGTGCATCTGTGACATGAGCTTTCCCCACAGTGCATATGCAGCCAAATATGTACCACAACCTTTTAGCAAAGCCCACAAACGGCAGCACGAAGAAAAGATAAGCAGGCGAAATGGACTCAAGCAGAGCTATATTGATCATGTTACAATCTCATTTCACAAAACATACCTATTGCAGCAAGGCAAGGTTTCCACTGAGAAGAAGTTACACAAATAAATCATAAGGTCTACAGGCAATTCCACTCATTTGTCTTCTACAGCTGGTCACAGGCTTAAACTTCTAGTTTTTGACATCATCTAATTTAAATAAAACGACCACAAAGGAGCATGTAAAAACAAAATGAACAAAAAATATCGAAAATATATTAGATTTATTAAATACATGGCAGGAATGTACATAATACAGAATACACAACAAGTTTAAATAGACTTCATGACTGATGTTACTTTTACTTACACTTTTAAGTCGAATGTAGTATAAAGAATTACCATTTTGGTTATAGTGTTATTTTGATAACACTATAGCTCAAATAAAATATCAATATTAGACGAAAAAAACATTTCTAAATGTTGTTTAAGCGCAAGTATTAAAATTACTAAAACTGAAATAAACTAAATTGAAGCGGAAATATATTTTTAAAAATAACAAAAACACAAAATTACTAAAACTAAATAAAAATTGAAAACATGAAAATAAAACCTGGTTAAAACATTTTTTAGAAATCCATGCAATGTAATACTCTCATGAACGTGTGGCGAAGACTGACACGGAAGAGAAGAAATTGTTGAATTAAGTCATTGTTTTTGTTTTCTTTACACACAAAAAGCATTCTCGTAGCTTCATAACATTACAGTTGAACCACTGATGTCACGTGGATTATTTTAATGATGTCCTAACTACCTTTCTGGGCCTTGAACGTGTCAATTGCGTTGCTGTCAATGTCGGGTTAGAAAGCTCTCGGATTTCATCAAAAATATCTTAATTTTTGTTCCGAAGATGAACAAAGGTCTTACAGGTTTGGAAGGACATGAGGGCGAGTAATTAACGACAGAATTTTCATTTTTGGGTCAACTATCCCTTTAATATCAGTTCATCCCTGTTTGCTTTATGTCAAAACTGTATTTTCCTGTGTAAGTGAACAGTTCTTGGCCAGAATAAACAAATGCAAAGTGGACCAGACTTCCGTCTGGATCAGAGACCAAACTTGTGTGGAGAGCCAGACATGTTCTCCCATTCGCTTGACTGGCTGAAATACGAGGAGAACCCAGCAGACCTTTAGAGCTCAGAGGGTGAGGCTTTGCTGAGATAAGTGATACACTAGGTGAACTTTCAATCTGGCCTTTAAGTACATTTACTGATCTTTGATCCTATGGCTCGTCTTTCATTCTCCCTCTCAATTAAAACAGTGGATATGACGCGGCCGCTGGCTTTTGAACCCCAAGGATCAACAGAGACTTCATTGTGAAGTCAGACACAGCTTGAGGGTTAGCAGAAGCTCAGGCGTTCTGAGCCTCTAGTGCCGCCTATGTGGACAAGTGCCAATTAAAACAGAAAGAGCTGACTTATTATCTGTTTTTGCAATGACAAGCAGCTAAAACTTTACTGAACATCTTATCTTTTTATAGTCAGCAAGGAATATTTGTCTCCCAAAACGTGGGGGAAAAAACAGTTAACATACTTCTGCCAATACCAGTGTTTCATTTCTGGTTGACAGACCGGGTGTCTTTACAAGCTGCTGTTGTTTCTATCACATCTAGAGGAGAACTGTCGGTAAAACAAAAAAGCGTTTTCGCCCCAGTGGTTTATAGAAAGGGTGCCTAAGTTGTCCAAACAGGACTTACAGCTCTGGGTTACAGATCAGGGGAAGATTTGCTTACACACAAGTTACACTGGGAAATGGAAAACAGTGGGGAAGGACGGAGCTTGAACTTTGCTGAAGGAATGTTTGAAGCTAAAGATCTGTATTTATTTATTTGTGCTAAAGACTTGCAAGTTGAAAAGGAATAAAATGGAGGGGCTCGGAGGAAGAACGGCAAGAGATAAAACAAAACAGAAAAATGAAATACAAGGAAATCAAATAGTTAAATAATACAAACATCAGGCTACTGCAGCTGGAGGGTGGGCTACAATAAAGGGTCACATGGAGGTCAGAGGAGCCAGTTATGACAAAAAAAAAAAAACAAGGCAAAAATTGAGGAAGAGTACTACACAGTATGCACACACGTGTGCAGAAAGCATACAAGCGTGGTGGATACCGAACATTTCCTTCCTGCAAGACGGACAGAGCAGCTCTCACTGTCAGCCTGTGTGTGTGGTTGCTAATATACTGAAACCAAGCAAGCCAAGGGCAGCAGATTGTTTTGAATGCAGGTATAAGAGGAAGCTTATTCATTTCGTAAGACTAATCTTTCTTTTGATGCCTTGGTATTACTCATCTGCAGGCTTAAGCCAGGAGGATGTCGAGTCTTTGCCAGTGAGCTTTGTGTACAGATTTCCTTTAGCACCCCAACGTGAAAACAGGAGCGACAGCGCACACACATTCTTTCAAAGCGACTCCCACCAGTTTTAAATACAGCCCTGGAAGAAATGGACTGGCACATCATGGAGACTAACCACTGAGAACAAACATTTGAGTGTGCAAAGGAAGTTAACTGCTTATAAAGGGGTGCAGTAATGATTTATACTGCGTAGAAGAAGATTTTTGCAGGAGTACAATAGATAGCAGCAGTGAAGGATTAGAAATGAAAATAATAAAGTAGAAAATATATTAGATTAGATTAGAATGTTTGCATTGAAATTCCAGCCACCATTTTTGTTTAAAAAAAAAGAAAAAAGAAATACTGTATAAGCCCTTTGTCTTTGGAGAAACTATTGTGAAGAAAAACAAACAAAAGCTACAAATAGAAAATATACATTTGTACCATCTGTAACCAAAAAAAAAATTATAATAAAAATTATTTCTTTTGCATATATATTTTCAGCACAGTGTGTCCAAAATTGTTGATTTCAGACAGGAATTTTCATTTCTGTACATTACTAAAATAAAACAGGATAGGAACAGGAGCAGAAAAGATTTTGCAGGAATACTGTAGAGTAATATGTGTACAATAGAGTCTTAAGCAATCAAGAGATATGTGCTTGATTAAAGCAGAAGCCCAGACATTACAGTGTCAAACACCAACGCAAACGACTGCTTCTAATGTGCATTTTACCAGGTGAAGTCAAAAGGTCACCACCACCTGTACAAGAGTTCAAAGTCCATCATCACCTGACGTAATTCCACAGTCTACGCAGCCTCTCCTTCTCTGCAGCAGACGTCTCTCCAACCCTGAGCACAACACAGAACTCTTGAGACCAGCCCTGAAAACATCAAACATCCTAACAGCTTCTACTGAGAAAAGACTTCAAACTCTGAGGTTTCTCTGACTGCAAAGATTGGTCTTTGTGTCTATGTATTGGTATTTGTGTTTCTTGGTACACACACAACAAAAAAAAAATAAAAAATTTAATGAGGGAATTAATTTACAAAAGAGTGATGTAATGGTTAAATGCTCCTCCTATAACTACATATGAAAACACACACAACAACAACAACAACAAAAAATTAAATGAGGGAATTAATTTACAAAAGAGTGATGTAATGGTTAAATGCTCCTCCTAGGCATTTGCCGAACAGAGACCGAAGTCAAATTATGTTGGTCAAACGGCATTTAAACTCTTTCTGCAAAACAGACATTTCCTTTCTGATACATAAAGTATGTTTGCGGCTTCACATTCCTGCTCTGAATTGGCTCTCTGTGCGCAGAGCTCAATGTTTATAGAGTAAGTGGAACCTCCTGGGACTGTTCTAGAAAAGGCAGAACTGGCCAGCACAGAGGAAGAAAGTCTAAACCAATGCCGAAGAGAATTGTCTGAGCAACAGACAGCCTTCAACCACTGTCAGACCATTTCAAAACTGTATATAAGCTTTTCTAAGTTTTCATACAGCAGTTTGTTAAAATAAGAATAACATTAAACATTAAATAAAAAAATTATATAAAAAACTAAAATTAAAATGACCATTAAAAATGAAATACTAAAAATAAATTAAAATGAACATTAATTAAAAATAAGTTAATTGTAGTAATAAATAATTTAAATAAATCAATAGTAAAGTAATACAACGGTCACATGAATACCTTCATGAAAAACATCATTAAATGTGGATGTGAAAGTAGCCATGCTTTGCATTCTGATGTGTTTTTTTCCCCCAGCACTCAGACACTACATTGACAAATGCCTAAAGTACACCATCGATTCCAGTTTCAAAAGGGAGCTATGCAAAAGCCTCTCTTCAATCTCAGGTGACCTGGTCAGCTTGAATAAAAGCAGTGGCACCCCGTCTGTTTCTTTGAGCTGAACGTGAGCCTATTCTTTCATCCACACTTAAGTACAGTAGCTTTGCACATTTTGTTTTCAACGAGTTATCTGATTGCTTATTTTAATTGCACATTGATTAGTCTGCAGTTGCCCAAAGCAGGAGACGACCACAGTCGAGTTAAGAATAGTGTGTACATGTGAGTATTGGAGAGCAGCCCTCACTCAACACGGAAAAATGTAGAGTGAGTCAGTCTAGGGGTCAACTGTAGTGCATTTATGGAAATGGAAACCCTTTGGAGAATGAGAGAGAATAACCTCCATCAAATTTAGTTGAAAAGTAGATCAACAAAAGGCCAGCGGTGGAATCCCTAAATGCTCAGGAAACACAGCTGGCAGAAAAATCACTACTGTTAATACACTAATGCACCATGTGACCAAAGGATTGTTACTCTTGCTGTGCAGAATTTAAAATGTCTCTTTAATCCGCCTGTTTAATTGTCTTATTATTGTCCTACATGCAAAATTCATGAAACTAAAGTTGCTATGCTCTTTCACTAAGTGAAGATGATTTGATCCTTTGTACTGTCGCTTTGTAAAAATGTTCAGTTGTGTTGTATTGTCAATTAACATGAAGCAACAACATACATTTGCTACTCAACCTGTGCTAATTAATAATTAATTAAACTATACTGCTGTAGAGCAACCGCCCACACTATGCATACAGAGGGAAATTAAAGGCCCTTCAGAAAGAAACAGGAAAGGATCAATATCAGCATCCATATATTGCATGTGCACTTGCATGCTATGGTATATATATATATATATATATATATATATATATATATAT